AGGTGACATTTAAAAAAAAAATCATTTTGACAACATTTTTCATCAAACATTCCTTCATATCGTCAAAGATATTCATCACAGAAAGAAATTCATTTAAAAGAAGTAGTAGAGATTAAATTCCCTATTAGTATATATTATTTATTATTTGACGCGAAACAGCCCTGAAGGACTACGCGACTATGAAACTGGTTTCTTCTTCAATTTTCTCTTTTCTGCCCATCTCTGCTTGAGGATATCGCTAAATTTTTTCTTCCTCTCCTCCGTCCACTTCCTCCTGGACGGAAGTTCCTTACTGTCCACCACATGCACCGCACTTTTCAGGAATTTCTTGTATTCTGTCCTATCCTCACATAATTCCCGTGTTATCCCAAGCCTCTGAATTTCCTGTTTTATTTGTACCGTATATCCATGGTTAAACTTGTATCCCATAACCCTACTGAAAATCTTCTTGTTTAATCTCTCCTCGGTCATCCTTTGCATGTGTCCATAAAACCTAAGTCTTCTTACCCTCATTTCCGTTTCCAAATCAGAGGTTTCACTGTAAATCTCCTTATTGGATTTCAGTCTATATCCTTCTGGTGTTATTTTGGGCCCATGGATTCTTCTAAGAATCCTTCTTTCTATTTTCAGCAGCTTCTCCAAACTGGGAAAGAACATTGTCTCCGTTCCGTACATTATCACTGGCTTTACCACTGTATTGTAGTGCCTGATTTTGGATTTTTGGAGTGGCATTTTTTATTATAAATGCTACTTGTTAAGTAGCATAATTTCTCCAAATTTTTAATCCCATCTTCCATGCTTTCTTTCTCCGATGAATGTCTGCTTATTATTTCGCCCAGGTATTTAAAGTTTTAAATCACCTTGATTTTACCGAATTTTGTTTTTATTTCTGTCTTCCTAAAGTTGGGATTTGTGGTCATAAATTTAGTCTTCTGGAAGGAGATTTTAAGTCCAGTTTTCTCAGCTATTTTTTTCAGAGAATTTATCTGTCTAATCGCCTCTTCCTCCGACTCTGCCAATAAGGCCAAGTCATCCGCAAAAGCTAGACATTTTACCAGGATATTGCTCCTTTGATTTCCTACTTTAGCTCCTGATGTTTCTTTTTCCCATAAGGTCCTCATAACTTTGTCGAGAACAACGTTGAAGAAAATAGGTGACAGTCCGTTCCCTTTCCTCACACCGGTTTTTATCGGAAATAGTTTGCTTATATTCCCTCTTAATTTTATTTTTGACTTGGTTTCTTTAGACTTGGCTTCTGGTGAAGATGGCGTCCTAGCAGAAATGTGGAAAAATTGCAGTGAGGTGTTCAGGAGAAAAGTCACAGAACTACTAATGGACGTCTGGGAACAAGAGAAAATACCAACAGAATGGAAAATCGCCCTAATCCACCCTCTTCACAAAAAAGGCGCGAAAACCGAGGTAGACAACTACAGGGGATCTCTCTACTGCCAGTTGCCTACAAAATTTTTTCTAAGGTCCTACTAAACAGGATAGAGCACCAAATAGACCACAAAATGAGAGAATATAAGGGAGGATTCAGGAAGGGGAGATCCTGCCAAGAACAGATACTTAGTCTGAGACTTCTCATGAAATATTATCTGAATAGACCGCAGAAAAACCTTTATATCTCTTTCGTGGACTTTGAAAAAGCATATGACTCCATAGACAGAGAAACCTTACTGAAAATCCTGAGGGAATACAGCGTCGATCAAAAGACCATAAACTTAATAAAAGAAACTTTAACATGGGGCCCGTGGTTAGAGGGATAGAAGATTGCCTTTTCAACCGCTTTAAATTTAATTTATGGATGGTCTTATAATTTGACAACAACAGTGGGGCAAAGAGCAGCTGAAACTATGGAACTGATGTATCATAATGTGGAATACATTTTTAAGAGAGATTTGTGCACATAACATGTTATACAGGTCAACTAAGAAAATCGGAGGGACTGAGAAAGTCGTTGAAGTAGATGAGAGTCTTTTTTCTAAAAGAAAAAATCATGAAGGAAGAGTTCTCCCTGAACAATGGATGTTTGTCGAGAAACAGACAAGTGTCTCATCGTTTGAAAAAAAGAAAATTCCTAAGCTCAGCGCTGAGTTTATCGATAGCACCGGATGCATCTTTAAGCTGGGCGAAAGGATGTCGTCAATAAGCTCATCGTTTAGACTTAAGAACTTGTCCAAAATCACAACCGCGAGATTAATACAAGTTAAAATATTGAAATAAAAAGTGTTCTATGAGTAAAAAATAATGTTTAGTTTTAATTAGTTAAAAAGTAATTTATCACTCTAGCACTGACCGATGAGGAGAATTGCGTGATTTTGGCGAATTATTTCGAGAAACTTCTTAATTTTGAGGAATCTAGTGAGAAACTGGAGATAAGAGAAAATACTCCACTAAACATCGACTCGGATCCAATCGACTCGGGCTGTAGCCCCCCCCCCCCAAAATGGAAAAATACAACCATGTTTTATGGAAAAAAAAAATTTGAAAATACCTCTTAAAGTATTATTGTTCGTGTAATTACATTTAAAAGGACTTAAGGAATCACTTAAACACCATTTCATATAGGTAGTTAGTTTCTTTCTGTTTTTCCAAAGTAATTATCGTTATTTTTATGAAAAAAGGTTTCGGGCTGAAGCCCCCCCCCCAAAATTAAATCCTGGATCCGCTAGTGCCTCTAACCATGTTCCTTTCCTTATAGATACGTTTTTCTTACAAGTGCTACGAAAGCATCTCCATTTCGTCTTCCCGTCGAACTTCATTTCATGACCTTCATCACAATATTTTACCTTTGCAATTCTTCCGGCGTCTTGAAAATATTTCATAGTCTCTTCTTCTGAAGACGGATATTACCACAATGTAATAACATCCATTTGAACGGTAACAATCGAACAAAAATAACCATGCAATAACGCACACGCAACAACTTACACCAGATAAAAAGGCAGGTTATGTGACGTAACATAAGATAAGAAGGGAAGTTTACTGCGAACCAGACCGTTCACAAATACTCAAATCTTTTAAATATTTTTGGCATATTTCTTTATCAAGTGTTGTTCTTAGTTTGAAATTACGCGTTTAGGGGCCGGGGTGGCCGAATGGGCTAACGTGTGTGCACAGCATCGCGAGTTGTCAGGCAACCAGATAACCAAGTTTTGAGGCTGGAAAGAAGTACGAGTTCGCGTCCTGGTGCCAGAAGGTAAATTCCCCGCACTCACCCTGGGGCCAGGGAAAATCCCGTATAGCCTAAAAGGCGAGGTAGAGAAGAACAGAAAAAAAAAAAGTTTGAAATTACGCTGCTTGGTCATTATGAGTCTTTTAACTGTAGTTCAAACATTTTTTCAACTGTTTGCCTTTTTCAATTTTTATAGAACATAATAGTGCTTATAATTGTGGATTAATGGTTGACTGCAATGAATAATTGAAGGGAACAATGTTTTTTTGTTGTTTTTTTTACTGATCACCCCAACCATTCTTCAATTATAGTTTTTAATTTTATTTATGCACTTAAATTAATTCCTTTGAGATCAGGAACTGTTCTTTTCAAATGTTTGGCATTTTATCTCCCACCCCAAACGTCCTCTTGCCAAAAACCAGTGTTGCCACAGCCCACTTGCCAAACACACACAATCATAGTTACAGTTAATAATAATAGTAATGATCCACAACATCACAGATTTTAAGCTCCTTGTCCAAAAAAATGTCAAGTTCCTTTATGAGGACTTATCCTCATCCCCATAGCTAGTATAGAATGTTTAATATAATGGTTGGTTTGTTAGAAAATAAAGAGTTAATGAAAAATATTTTTGGCAAGGGGTGAGCTGGTTATAGTTTGTTTAAATATAATGCATTGCATTACAATAACTTGAATAATTTCTGAACTCTTTCCAACTGGTTAAAAGAATGGTTAGTTGACCATTTCAGATAGAATTCAAATTTTGTAGATCGATCCTATCCTTGATATTTTAAAGCTCAAAACTATTTTTTAAACATTTCTTTTGCAGTTAGTTCATTTATGGTTTAAATTAGTCATCACTTGATACCTTCCCAATGAACTCCATTGTGGAGTTCTCATCATTGTTAGCAAATAAAAGACCCTTTTAGTTAACTAATATTTTTCTGTATAAGTTATATTTTTGCCTTCTAGATTTTGCCAAGGTTATCAAATGAAAATAAACAAAAGTAAATTTTCACAGAATAGTTTCTTAAAGAAGAAAAATCATTTCCCCTCCTTATTAATATGCAATTAGCAAATATCAATGGTGAGTAACTTATCCTTTAAAAATTATGCCCTTTTAAAAATTAACTTTTATTTTTATTTCCAATGTTTCAGTATTTCTATTTGGAAACCAAACTAAAATATGGAAATCCAACACAAAAGGTCTCTATGGAATTAACTTCTAGTATAATTTCAACTTTTATATTCAACTCTGTGTAGATATGAACATTTTTAATTATATCATAAAAAAGTTCCAAAATCCCATAAAAAGAAACTTCTTTAATGGGAACGAATTATGTATTAAGTATTTTGTAATATTATAATATATAGTTATGTTATATTTATATACTATGACAGAATATAAAAACTCAGAAACCAAATCTAAAAGTTGAAATTTATATAGGAATTCAATGCAAGGACTTATTTGATATGCAAGATTTAAAGAACTTCTTTATTAAGCATGTAATATTTGACAGTTTGTTTGGTTTAATAAATTTATGTGTACATGTTTTGCTGAACCTCAAAGTTCTGTTCTCTACATCCAGACAGGTTTCATTATGATCTTATAGATGTCACTTTTTAGCCAAGTTAAGTGAAGATTTTTAGTCCAAAAGAAAAGAAAGTTTATAGTATTTTCTTTTCAAAGCCTCTTTTTAATTTATCTTGTATTACCTGAATGAGTATTTTGCCCAATCATAGAACCAAGTAATTAACATATTCAAACTCAAAGAAAATTATTTTTGTTTTAAACTGATAAGAACATATTCTTTCATTTTAGGGTTTTCCTTCTTACGGTGTACTAAAAGGTCTAATATTACGAACTACAATTAAGGTTCTGTTGAAGTACCGAAAAGTGTTCAATAATAAAAAGGTCAGTTATAAGAAAAAGATGAAGCTACTGCACCAAGAATTCACAGATGAATTAGTGAATGAAGTAAGTTGTGGACCATGTTATGTGTTTTCTTATGAGTGTAACCCAGGAGTACATTAATACATTTTGTTTTTATTTTTCTTATCAAGAAAATGTTAATTAATCATATTATGATTTATAGCATGCTAACTTCTCATTTATTCAAAAGTATTGTCATAACTTACTTAGTTTCCATAATGCATGACTCAGAGTAGTTTGCCTATTCTATCATTTATTTCCGACAGTCCTGTGAAAAAATCTCAAGAATCTCAATTGACTCAAGAATGGGAACATCTAAATGTCCCTGATCCTGTTAAAATAGTCCTTTAAGGAGCTTCTATGCTCATCTTTTCAGTGAAGAACTGAGAAAGGACATATGTGGAAGAAAAATGTGCTAATTTAATTCTGTTTAAAAACAGAGTGATTTAGAAATTGATAAATACCTTATTATTATGAATGCTTCTAACATGTGTTATTTACTTCAATTATTACTACTTTTTTTTATCATTTTAGCCTGTAATGTTCACAAAAGAAGAAGACAATGATGTTTTAGATCTCGCTCCATATATGCATCTTACACCTCATTTTGTTCATTTGGTAAGTTAAGACCATTATAACTTTTATAATGCTATTTGAGAGTGTAATTAAGAACAAAAATAGCATGTGGAGCAAAGCTCTATAATTGAGGTCCTGTTTTTCTTGTATTTTTTATTATTGTAAAAAGAGATTAAATTGTTTCATTGAAATGAAAAAAAAGTATTTTATTATTCTGGGACTGTTGTCCCTTTAGAACAAATTATAAATACAGATTGTATGTCTGTGTGGTTACAATTAGATTATATATTTACAATAAGAGTTGACTTAAAATAAAAATACTGAAGAAGAGAAAGAAAAGAATAAGAAAATTGTACATATATATATATATGAGAAACTAAAATAACCTAAATAAATTGAGGTAGTCTCTGGGGGTGCTTAGATATTTCTCTTAAGTATATTTCGCAATCATTCAGATTGAGAAAGGAGTAGGTGTTTGAAGAGGAGAGATTTGAAAGAGGAAACTGATTGAGTGTGTCGAATATCAGCAGGGATGGAATTCCAGAGGGAGGCGGCTTGTATTGCAAAGGATATGTCAAACGCAGCAGTTCGGTGAGGAGGAGGATAGAGGTCGGAAGTACGAGATCTAGTGGGATGGGATTGGATGGAGTATTTGAATTGTAAGCTGTGAAAAATATAGGAGGGTCGATGAGTTATCTTATAGCTTGAGATAATATAGCTTGAGATTCCGAAAACAAATCGTAGTGCGCAATTCATTAGGCGTTTAAGTTTGGCCTCTGAATCTCCCGAGAGTCCACCGTACACCATACAGCCATAGTCGAAGTGGGAGAAAACAAGGGAAGAAACTAGGAGTTTACGGGACTTATATTGAAGGAGATATCGTAGACGATTGAACTGTTTTAGGGTGTAGATAGTGCGACGGGAAATTTGGGAGATGTGTGGTTCATAGGGTTTGATCAAAAGTAACACCTAGGTTTTTAACGGTGGTGTGGAATAAGATAGGTGAGTTGTTCAGGAGGAGATTGGGAGATACTGGGTAGGATTTGAGGAGTGAGGGGGATCCGATCAAGATGGTTTTTGTCTTCTCGGCGTTCAGAGTGAGCCTATTGAGGTTCGCCCAAGCACTTATTCTGTCAATGTCTTCCTGAAGTTTTAGAGTGGCATCTGAGAAATATGTCGGATTAAAGGAGAGGTAAATTTGAATGTCGTCAGCATACAGGTTGTATTGACAGTGCAGGATAGAGGATGGGAGATCATTTATAAAGATGGAGAAAAGGGTAGAGGATAAGGAAGAGCCATGTGGGATGCCTCTGATCAGAGGTAGAGATTCTGATGGCGGGTTATTAGGAATTAAAACATACTGGGAGCGACCGGTAAGGAAGGATTGGAACCCATTAAGGGAACTAAAAGAAAAAGAGATATTTTTAAGTTTGGTTAGGAGGATGTTGTGGTCTACTGAATCAAAAGGTTTGGAGAAGTCTAGGAGAATAAGGACAGTTAGTATCTGCTGATCTATGGCTGTGTGAAGGTCTTGGAAAATTTTGATTACGGCAGACTGAGTAGAATAACCAGGTCTGAAACCGTACTGGTAGGGATTTAGGAGATTGTTGTCCTCTAAAAAATGGGATAGCTGGGATTGAACTAATCGCTCTAAAGGTTTTGAGAGGTTTGAAAGGAGGGAAATCTGTCGGAAATCATTAAGAGCTGATAGGTTTGAGGTCTTCTTCAAGGGGCATACTAGGGCGGTTTTCCAGGATGTAGGGAAGGTAGCATTTTGAAGAGAATAATTATATATATGATAAAGGATCGGAAGAATGAATGGCAATGCGGCTCAGTCTGACTGGGATGTTATTGTGGCCCTAATCATTGGTATGGGACTTCTGAATGGATTTAAGGAGATCATCTGGAGTAATATGAGAAAAAAGAAGTGATCAGGATTAACAGAAGAAAACATAGGAGCCGGACTGGACTTAGGAGATGTGGTTGCAAGAGGGCAGGAGACAAATTGAGCGTTGAGGTTATCAGCCGAAACAGAATTGGACTGGGACTGGGGTGCATTACCAATGGTCAGTTTTCTAAGAATAGTCCACGTGGCCTTGGTATTAGGAGAGTTGGATAGTGAATGATGGTAGTAACGGGATTTAGCATGGCATACTGCTGATTGAGTGCTGTTTCGAAGCTGTTTGAAGGAGAGAAAATCATCAAAAAGTCGAGTTTGTTTAAACCGTCACCTTGCAGCATCTCTTTCTCTTATACACTCTCTTAAAGCAGGAGTAAGCCAAGGAGCTGGAGGATATCGGATGATTTTTGTGATAAGAGGAGCATCGGTCGAGGATAGAATGAAGTTGGGTAGTAAGGGTTTCTACCATGGTGTCTATGGATTTTGAGGAGTTGATGGGATCCCACTGGATATCGTCAAGATCTTTTGACAGGATTCGTGAATGAGAGAATATAGGTTTCAGAAGGATATTGTTCGGGGAGAAAAGGATGGGACTCCATGTGAAGTGAGGCTCTGGAGGCTGGTCTCCGGTATATTGAATACTCCAAAGGATCCTCTTTCCAGAGCCTTGAAATTGAACACGGTCCAGGTGTTGATTCCAGTTATTGATTGTTTTTGGATCTGAAGCCGATTTAAGTAGTATTCAGCACCTAGGGCCTTTCCTGGAAAGAAGGATCCAATCCTGATGATTTTTGTTAGGTCACCTGCCTCACAAGCTCGTAGGGTTAAACCTTCCTTGATTGTGATGCTAGGTGTTATCTTCTTGAACCATTCTACCGTATGGTCATCTAGACAGGATTCAAGACATCCACCGAGCTTGAAGAGCACCCTGTCGAATTTTGGATGTGTCTCCTCCTATGGTTAGTTCGTCAATTTTACTGGCGATTGCTTCTTTTAATTCCTCGCATTGGTCATAGGTGAGTTGGGTCTGTGAGTAATCCACAGGAACTACCACGACCAACTGTCCTCTTGCAACCTTTGCGTAATTTCTGGGCCTTTCAGCCTCCCTCGGTTTCTTAGCTGCTGTAGCTGAGGCTCTTAGGGATTTTCTTGCTCTTTTTTCCGCAGGCAGTCTTGATCTAGACCTCCACCTTTGAGGCCTCGCATTCTTAGCTGCTGGCCTGTGTGGCCTTGCAAACTTAGATGCTGGCCTGTTGGGTGTGTCCTCATCCCCTGTCTGTGGTATTGGAGCTTTCCCCCCCGGCACGGTAGCTTCGTTATCCAGGCCTTTTGGGGCCTTTGCATCCTCCACTACCTGCCTTTGAGTAGGCTCCAATTTGCTGGTGGTTTGTCGTTGATCTAAGGCCTCCCTCTCATGACTCTCCGCATTGTCCGCCAGGCCTTTTGGGGCCCTTGCTTCCTCAGCAGAGTTCTCTAAAGGTGGCCTATTCTCTTCCTGTGGGCTCAGTAGATATAGGGCCTTTGCCCTCTTCCTATTACTCCTCTTCGCATTCTTTATCGTCCTCGATGTGGCAGGCCTTGAGTCCTTGGGCTAGTGGTCCCCGCTCTCCTTCTGGTCGAGTCCAGAATGTGATGGGATGCTTCACAACATAACCCTTTCTGCCTTTTTTCATTTCGTCCACGTCCATTTCTTCTAATAGCACTGGCCACCTCCATTATTTCATTATCTTTCAACTCCGTTTTACGTGGAGTGTTCCTACATCCTCTGTTAGGGTTTTTAGTAATTTCCCTACCAGAGATTCATCTAGCGTATCAGAGGTGACCTCTGATATGTTTAAAAGCTCCTCTGAGGACAAGTCCTACTCGGATACCGACGATTTATATTTTTAGATTTTTTGTTTCCGGACATTTTTGTTCCCATGAGTATGGAGGTCAATGGAACTACAGGTACTACCCCCTCTCCCTGCAGCTGGCATATTGTACAATGGAGTGGCGCCCAGTTTTCCAAGTGGGTCGATAAAAGACAGTATATTTTTATCCAACCTCTGCCACTCAGCTTCAACTCGTGCGCCCCGACCTAGCTTGGGTGCCTAACAGGTTCATCGCTTCCATCTCACATATATCATCCGCACATATATGAATGGAAGCAGTGAACCCCGCCTCTGTCGTCCGCGAGCCCCATCGGACTCCCCGGGGGGCGCCACATGGAGGTGACAGTAGGCGTTGATAGGGATAAGGAGATCTGGGAACTCACAAGCAGTGGGTAGGGCACTACACTCGATCGTTCCGCAAAGAGTTGGTGAGATTCCCGCACCCATCTCCCTCTCTAGACCTCCCGTTACCCTATCCATTTGCCCCCCTGCTGGCCATCGTCTCGTCGAAAGTAAAAATTGATGTTAAATAAAGATAGAAAATCTTTCCAAATTATTATGCAATGGTTTATTATTTTCAAAAAGTTATAAATTGAATATGTATATCATATCCCTAACAACCTACAAACAACTTTTCTTTCCACATAGGGTAACATTAGATCATTTTAGAAATATTTTTTTTTAATCACACTTTGTAGATAATTAAAATAATTGTCATGCTAGAATTAGGTTTCTAAGGGTAGATTTTTAGATTTGAGATACCAAAATAAAAAAACAAAAAATGAAGATCGAATTTCCAAGGTACAGAGAATCACAAAATTCAAAACGCAATAAATCTCTCTGCAATAAATGGTCCAGTTTCACTAATAATTTTATACTTTGAACGATTTTTACTTTCACTTACCTATATATAGTAAGGGTATGCATTGCGATAGTGAAAATTTTTGTATTTGAGGAAATACACCTTTTGAGGTGAGGTCCCCTGAGTTAAAATAACCAAGTCCTACAAAATGGTCAGTGTGTGTGTATGTTATCAGTTTAGCTCAAAAACAATAGGACATACAAAACTGAAAATACATATTTAAGTTAGGTATATACCTTGAATGTTAGAGCGACTTTTTCATTAAGATCAGCTAACCGGATGTGTCACTTCATATCTTCAATATTACACATTTTTAAGATTTTCTCAAAAATGGCTTTGATGATTATAATTAAACTAGGTGTATCAATGTATAATTAAGTGGTCTTTAATATTATTTAGATCTGGTTCCCATTGATGTCACTTAACAGAACTTAAATGCTCAATGTTCAATATGTCTTCCTCTAAAGTTCCTTTAATTTGGTTTATTTAAAAAAATTAATTATCTATCATTGTTCAGAATTATTTAAAAAACAAAACAAATATAACTTTTGAAAGAATTTGAAAATTGGATAAAGGAGAAAAATATTTATTTAGGTCAAAAATGAAACTCCGGAAATAATAGTCAGAATGTATCATTAGAAAGCTGAGGATTTTTCAAAAAAACAATATTTAATATAGAAAGTCGTGTGAGGTATTGGAGAGTGACAAAAAAATTATAAATATTAATTTGTGAAAACTAATATTATTTAACAAATATCACGTTTCCATGGAAATTAAATGAAATTTCCTAACTAAAAGTACACTTTTAAAATTATTTTTAAGCTTGAAAAAAGTATATAAAATACACCAAATGAAGGCGACATTGTTTCCAAAAAAAGTTTCTCTTTGTGAAATCACATTATTCACTTACAATTAGTGTAATGACTTTTGACCTATCGATGTTATATTTAAAAGTAAGTAACTGTATTTTGGTAAATTTTCCAAGGATAAAAATTGAGAATTTAAATACATGCTAAAAGTGATCATCATCATCATCACAGGAACTAGAACCCGGTACCGGTCTTCGCTGCATCAATGCGTTGCCTCCTTTCCTCTTTGTCTTGTGCAAGGGTCTGCCAAGCTCTAGTGCCCAGAAGCTTCTTTGCGTCAGCTTCGACCTCCTCTGCCCATCTCAGTCATGGTCGTCCTCTCCTTCATCTGCCATCCACATACCCGAACAGTAGCTGCTTGATTGGTGAGTCCCCATCCATTCTTGCAATGTGCCCAGCCCATCTTATCCTATAGAGCCGTATAAATTGCACCACATCTGGTTCCCGGTATATTTGGTACAACTCTGCATTATGCCTTAGCCTAAATCAATCTATATATTTTTCAACAATGTACAACATCAAGTGTTTTTACATTAATATCTAATAATAATAATAATAAATAATCCATACTGCATTTATCAGATCCTGGGGCTCTGTTGTTCTTTAGTTTTTGGATAGAATCGTATATTTCCTCGTCATCTGGTGGATCGGTTAACTCGAAGCCATTGCACAGAACAGGAATAACACTATTCACCGTGGGGTCCTCGGGGGTTCCCAAAATACTTCTAAAGTGGGTGACCCATCATCCAAGAATGGTATCTTTGCTTGTAATAAGTGATCCATCCTCTCCTCGGCAAGCATTCGATCTTGGCTTGAATTCTTTACACTGGGCATTCACATTCTTGTAGAAGGCTCTTACGCCCACTTGACTCCTTTGTTCTTCGATTTCTTTTATTTTGTTTTGTTTTTGTTTCCTCTTTTTTCTTCTATGAATGCATTTCTCTTCTCGCCTTCTGTCTTTATATTCTTTGACTGCTTGGCGAGTTCGGTGCCTAAAAGTGATAGAGATTTAATACTATAATTTTTACTATGTTGTACGATTCTTACTTATTCATAATTAAATTAATGCTCTTTCAAATCTATCTTAGTCTATAGAGTTCAGAGACTAAAGTTATGTGATCCAAATAAACTGATGCAGTTATAAGGTTTTTATTGATTACAATCAATATAATAAAGAGGATTTATTATGTTATGTTGATGGTCTTAATGATTTTTTATGTTGATGAATACAACGGAAATTCAAAAGTATGTTGTTTAAGCTTTAGATGCATTAAAAATGCACTTCAAAAACTTCATATTCATAAATTCATAGCAAAAGCCCAATTTTGTCCGACAAGAATTGCTTTTCAAAGTAGAGCAGTAAGTAAAAGTTGTGTGATGTGTGCATCAGATTTTTTTTTTGTAGGAAAAAACTTATCTTTAAAACCAATAAATGATAGATATACAAAAAATGCATTCTTTTTGAGTTTTGTAAATAAAATTTTGTGATCATCGGAACGTGTTTTCTATTCTTTCTAGTCTTAGTATTGCTGGAATGTATACAGAAATGTGTTTTTCTGTCACCAACTTGAATTGGCGACTAGTGATGAGCCCTCCCAAAGGCACTTATTCAACACCAACTTAATATCGATACAAAATTTTAACCTTCCAACTTCAGTGGGAGGAGCTTTAGAGATTCACAATATTTTAAAAACAAAGGAAAACCTGAAAAAAAGTTCTTATATATGGAAATTTAGATGAAATTTATCCGAAGTTTAATAGTATTGTTCCATCTGGGAACCAACTCTATATACCAAAGTTCAGCTAATTTGGGCCAAAATATTGGACAAAAAAAGATATAAAGATAAAAATTATATATATAATCGTATCATAAATTGTATCGTGTTCAAGGGGTGCCAAAATAGATAGAAAACCCAACCCCACCTTCCAATGATGACTTACGGTACAGTGTAAATGTCTATTATTTTTTAAGAAAAATAAGACAAAAAAATCCTTCACTTATTGTTAATTATGACCTCCCCTGGCTGAATTCATCAAAAAGCTAATGATATTTACTTTTCATAGCAAAACAAGTCAAATATGGCAGGTATAGTAAAGCTTGTAACATTGTCTTAAAAACAGATGAATAAAAGACAAAAATAGATGTCTGGGTCTTTCAGTTTTGATTCAATGCCACATATTAAGAATTTGCTGATATTTTTGTTTGAAATTGAAATAGTGAATTTAATAAGTTGAGAGAAAAAAGTAATCTTTCAATTGGTTTGGATGTAATGGTATCTAAATTCTGACTGAGGAATAATTAAAAGAAAACAAAAAAGGAAATATCTTAAAATCAATATTGACTTACAAGAAAATGGAAGAATTTATGATTGTTTTGCCACTGAGTGGCTGCATATCAGAGACAGACATCTGGCATTTTTAGAAAGTTGAGAAAAAGTCAATTTTTGTAACATAGCTTCAATTTAAACCAGTTCTAATGATATTTGTTTTTTAATCATATCATTTGATTTTATCATTTTTCATTGGATGTCAGGTCACTCATTTGTTTTTAAATAACATTTTACATCATTCTATCTTTTTCAAAATATTGCATTGTTAGTAATCTATGGATTTCAATCATGCTTTTGAGATCTCGTTAATAAGAAACCATATTTTTGTAATAAAATGTACTTATTTCTCTGATTTGAAATTTTAATCTCATCAAGTTTTAACTAACTTGATGAGATTAAAATTTCATTGATTTATTGATGAAGTACTTGCTGAATAGATTGGTATGGTTATTAAATGTATTTGTATTAATTTGTTGATTTCAGGATTGTAGTTTGTCTCATGCATACCATGTATTTGCTGCACTTGGTTTGAGACATCTTGTGGTCGTCAATAATCAATATCATGTAAGTATACTTGTGTTTTCATTTCATTCCACTATTCTTCCAATTTTTAAAAATTATCTAACTATTATAAAAGAAGAGAACACATCATCTGTTTATTGCAAAAAGTCATTAAGTAACATTTTACAAAATTAAATCAGTGAATACTTTCATGAACTCTGTTTGTATGAAAATAGAACATTGTACACTTGATGTAACTTTATAGACAAATAAAGTCAAAGTTCACAAAACATATTTAAAAGCTTAGCTCCATCACTAATGTACTTAGTGATTTTTGCAATAAAGTGACTTTATTTTCTCTTAGTTAACATATTTTCCTTTTTGGTGTGATAATTTAATTTTATTCCAATTTAATACATTTTAGGTAGTTGGAATGATTACTAGAAAAGATTTATCCGTGTTCAGATTTATCAGATATGGACCATATTTGGATATCTTTAAATTGAAAATTAGGGACAACTAGTGTTATCTGAAGCAGCAATGACTTGTTTTATGTCTTACTGAACTTCAGGTATGAAATTTTAACATTAGTGGTGTATAATTTCACTTGTCTTTGAATTAATTTTTTTTTTTTGCTCAAAACTATTTAAATTTCATATTTTACATGTCCATCCACCTGAATGCAATGACTAACATCTTTTAAAAGATATATTTTCTAATCTTAGTACTACTGCTAAAAGATATTTATTTATAAGATGTATAGATATATTATAGTGAAAACTAAAATTTTCTATATTTTGATTCAGTAAGATAATAAGATCCCAATTTTTTTTTCAGTTTTATTTCCTTTCTATTTTATCAATTCAAATTTATTAAATTTGTCTTCTATTCCATATCTTAATTTATGAATTATAAAAATCTGCTATAATGATGATTTTTTACTATACTAACAATTAATTGTAAAAAGAAACTTAAGATAATCAAGTTGTTGCCTTGTTTTTGCTTATGCTTCTTTGCCACTGTTTTCTCTTACCCCCTGCTTTTTCAGATTTAGATGTGCTAGCATAGAGTATTCAACGATTTTCATATTTTTCTTATAAATCTGAGGGAAAGATTGGGTTTCTATAATTTAATTTTCTAATTTTTAACCTTTCACTTCACTCTCTCAATGGGGATGTGTATGAAATGTGACTGAGATGCAAAATCCAAGTTTTCAACCTGAGTGGATACATAGATATAAGAATGATGATAAATAATGAGAGATAGAAACCTAATGCTGATTGATGTGAATCTAATATTGTAAGTGTATTGATAAAATAAGCGAGCTAGGATGAGCAAAGTCATTTATTGCGTTCGATCTTCTTCCTTGTAAACCAGTAGACAGAAGAAAGGGCTTATATTCCACCTTTCAAAATTTTTTCTGAATCAGTTGAAGCTAAAACCTGGCTAGTAATAAACGGTTAATTCATTTGCTAATATTGTGTATTTGAATTAAGTTATTGGTGAATTTGAGACCCAAAATTCTAACTACGTCGGATCCAGGATCCTCCCCAAGTTATAAATGTTTCGTATGTGGTGAAAGTTTAAATGAGGATGAAATAGTGTTTGGAGAAATAAAAAAAGAGTTAAAGCCCTACAAAGGTCTAGTGCTGCATTGAAAAATAGGGATAATGAACATTTAATGAAACATTTGACTGAGATTTATGTATATACAGCATAATAGATAGCGATAGACACATACAGCATAGCGTTTTAACAATCCTAAATTGATCAAAGCAACTGTTAATCCTGGAGATGTGATAAGAAAAACAAATGTCAACACAAATGTAACAAGAACAAGGGCTTCCTCAGGGAAATTTAATTTCAGAGAGCAGTGTTGAAAAGTCATAAATAAAAGTTCCATTGAAGCATAGAAGAAAAAAACTACCAGGAAAAAGAAATTCTATGATTGCTGTTTAGCATACCAAACATACCAACAAAAACAGCCGAATGAAAATATGGTGAATGGGTCATCAAAATAAAGGAACGAATTTCAGAGGAGACTGATTCGGTAGCACTCGTTGCTAGATAACATCTCTTTTGTTAAAAACATCGAGGTTTTTCAGCAATCACAGCATTCTTCAGCCTGAAGAAGATGCTGACATGTTAATCATCACTATAGCTATCGGAAAAGCTTCTGTTTCAGGTCCCGATTATAACAGGAGGGGATGTAGATTTGCTGGTCATCCTCACTGGTCTCAGGAGTCATGCACAAGGTTCCATATTCTTTCATAAATATGGTGGAGAATAAGAGTGTGGAAGAGGCAAAAACGTCAGATGTCTTCTACTCAACAGCATCAACACCTATAGACAGCCAGCTCATCACTTTCACTCGCACCTTCAGTGGCTGTGATTCCGTCTCGTGCTTCTTCGGCCGAGGGAACCTCAAATTGCTTTAAATACTACTGAAACATGCAGATCTTAAATAGAAAGCTGAAATTTTTTTAATTCAGCTGCTATACCTGTCCAAGTAGTTAAAGTCAGCGAGAAAATCATTGAACTGTAAAGTAGAGAAAGGTCAAGTCAAACCCTTAACGACCTGCACTACCAGCTCTTCACAAAGAGTACAGCCAAGACTACGTAAGATGCTGCAAAACTAGATTCATTTCGCACCTACTTCCAAGTTCAAAAATTGCTGGGTTATAAAAAGAATCGGCTCAAATGGGCTCAGCTGAATCAGCTGGGGGCTGATCCAAGGCTTTTCCCCAAAGATGATGTCGATGGAAGTAGCATGATTTCTTGCTGTTGTAAAAAGGAATATAGAAATGCTTGATTCTCAGGAATCAGGTTTGAAGAGTTCACTACAGGACCTGTAAAGGCCAGCATAGTGAAAACTTATCTGAAATTACAGTAGACATCGAAGTCAACACCCATGATTTGGACGAACTCATCGTCGAGGATGACAATATGGAAAGGTTGCTCGACTATTCTGACATCCAACTCGCAAGAGAAACTATTAAAGAACTCAAGGAACTATCCCAGGTATACTTTCACTCTCATAGTTTAAAGTTGATATTATTTTATTTATTATCTAATACATACCCCATATGTTATGAATACCATTATTTCTATCAATTAATATTTGAGGATGAGGTTACCAACATGTTTGAGTATGTGAGCATGTTGGAGTGTGGGCCACAGAGTGCCCAGTTCTGGATGTTATGGGTTTGATTCCAACCTGGGTAGGTTAATTTTCATTTCTTGGTGATTCCGGGGAATGAATCTTGATATTCCCCTCTGGTAAGTAAGCGGCAGCAACTTTAAGGCAGGAGTTGGAAAAAAGGACCAGGTGGCCCGATTGCGTCTAGTTCCTCTAGTTTTGTGGAACAGTGCTCCCCACCAGTACCAGTACCAACATGTGTATTGCATTTATATTAGGGTTCTTTGACAAGATTTTACCTTGGGATATTCAACAAATTAATTTTTACTTTCCACTTCAGAAAGTCTAGGGTGATGAATATGACACTAAAGGAGGCGGATCTGTCCTTTAAATCAGAGAAAACTCTGTTAATTCACATTTCATTTAATCTTTTTGTATATAATTGATGCTAATGTTTGTTATATAAATTTTGCATTTCAATTTCAGTCGTCTGGTCTCCCTCTCCCCCTCTCCCACTAAACCTTTTCCCTCTCCCTCATTTCTCCTTCAAAATGTTAAAATGAATAAATTTTACTTCACTGACTCATATCAGATAGATTACTGTTGATACAAAGACATTGCATATGTTCAAACATGAAAAATAGCTTAAATTTTCAGTTTGGAAAGTTTCTCAAACTTTGAAAACCTGTATCTTGAAAACTGTTATATTTACCAAGGCTGTTCTAATCTTAAATTGTAACATATTTAATCTAGTTTAAAAACGTAATGAATGTTTCATGTCGAAAACATGGTCCTTCACAGTCAAAATGGGGTATAAATGAAAAAAGTACGATAGTATAGCAATTTTGGGGATATTCAAAAGTGATCTGTGAGGGTACCGAGGTCGAAAACTTGGATTTTATATATAAGTGACATCCTATACAAGAAAAAAAAAACCTTTTACAACCATTTTATGGAACTTACGATGTATAAGGTACTATATAATGGATAAATTTATGATCCCCACCGATTTAAGTAATTTTATTGTATAAATGACTTCTGCATAAGAGATATTCTCCCTAGTGCCTTAGTCCAATTAATGAAATTAAGAGTTCAAAAATGACGAGATGTGTGGAAGACTCGACTGCCACCTAGCAAGATTCTTTCAACTGTTTTTTGACTGGCTAGGTATTATTCTCATTAATTTTTTGCATGAGCAACGCACAATCAATGTTGTTCACTATCGTGAGGTGTTCGACCTCTAACGGTCTCCAAACTTCAGGAAATGCACTGGACTCAACTTGTCCTTATTATCGACCTATTGCCTTCAAATTCTATTTGTATGAACTGCTTAAAGAAGCTCTAGGTGGGCAAAATTTTGAAGATGACGAGGGCATGGAGTTATTCATGAACAATTGGTTCCTGACGCCAACAGGATATTGCTATAAAAAACTGGTATCAGTTCCAATATGTTAGAAAGTATGTCTAAAGTGTTAAAATATCTTTATTTGGGTGGGAAATAGTGAAGTGATTGGATAGAATAGTTTCTGTTCTGTTGCTTTTGTTGAATCGACATTGATACATTAAATATTTTATTTAGTCTAAGAATAAACGTATAAATGAAATAAAATAAAAATTTAATTATTACTATTATTGTTTCTTGGTTTTGTCTCTTTGGTAGGTCTAATCTCATATATAATTAATATCCTATTCTTGATCTGTAATGTTATTTCACTTGAAGATGGTCTTCATCTGGACTATGCTGCCTTAATGACTGTGAAAATGTTCTCTCTAGAGCATTCCGGAACTGACAGAGGAGCCAATGGGTCGGATGAAGACTGAGTTTTGAGAGGAGGATGGGGGCTGTGTCCCACCATAAAATTTCTAACTCCAACATATTTTTTGAATTTAATATTGAAAAATAACAATCATTACAATATATATATATATATTTTTTTTTGCTTCCCCACTACCGAAGATAGGGAAGCATTGTATTCGTGCGAGAGGTTAAAAAAAATTTTGTGCTCAGAATCAAAAATTTCCACTCCCGTTTTACATTTCAGACATCAGGGATCAAATTTGATCCTGTGTCTGTCTATCTTTAGTCAAATAAATGTAACGGGCATATCACATACTACCATTCATCCAATTTTCAGGAATTGTGCGGGTTGGTGTCTGGATGGTCCCATATCAATTTTATTAAATTCTAACCAGCACTTGCGCAAAAATGCATTTTTGTAGATATGCCAATATTTCAGAAATGGCTTGTTAGATTTGGCTGAAAATTGGATAAAAGGTAGGTATTTGTGAAAAAATAATGTAGGGTAATATTATCGAATTCTCTCTGTTCCTTTCTCTTATATATGCGTATACATGTTTTCCTTGATACATCTATATCTCTAAAACCGCAAGTTCGATTTAGCTCAAATTTTGAGGGAATTTAGGGATCAGTAAACGTAAAATGAAATAGGCATCAATTTTATAAAATTCTTTCTACTAATCCAAAAAAAAAATACTTCCGCTTTCAGATCAGGAAATGTGTTATTTGATATGTCTATAGCATTTGATTTGACCTAAACTTGGAGGAAATTTAGAGAACAGTATAGAAATTACTTAGTATCAATTTCATTGAATTCCATTTAATAATTAAAATTAATATAAGTAATTGTTAACAATATAAATAATGGCTGCGAAATGTTGAAGGCACTGATTATACATATGTAGTGAGAGTTAGGTTATAACAATATTGTTATCGGGTTATAAAATTTTAGGTTTTATTCAAAAAATTAATTGATACTGTATTGTTCCAATCGTTAATTAGATTTTGTGTAATTTTCAATATATTTAAAGTAATTCATACTATGAGTTTGTAAAAAAAACAACGTCTTATTTGTGATTGTGTTTATTTCCATTGAAGTTCTACCAGCTTGTCTTGGTCTTGATTTCCTCCTTAAATATCGAAGTCAAGTGAACTTTTATATTTTCTGGCTTTTAAAGCGTTTTGTTCTGACTGAAGGAAAGTATTGGTCACGTTAACTCCGAATAAACAACAAGTTGAATTTTTTCTGTGGATTTTCTGGTTTACGAGTTTTACAGGAAAGCATAAAAACTAATATTTTCTTTATGATTTATTAGTATAATTTCATATTCTATTGCCCTCTCCTATTTTCCTTGGTAGCAGATTGCTTATATCAGTTGCAGAATACAAAATGCCACTTTTAGCACAAATAGAATAAAAGTTAAAAATTTTTACATAAGACTTTTAGCACTAGCAGTAGAGATGTTTATTTAATAGGCATGTTTTTACTCGTAAAATGGATGGAACAAAAAACCCATAGGAAAAATTAAACATTTTGTTTGTTCAGAGTTAACGAGACCAATATTTTTCCTTAGTCAGAACAAAACTAATTAAACTGAAATATAACATATGTGTGAAATTCACACAACTTTGATATTTAACGAGGAAATCGAGACCACTACGAGCTAGTTGAACTTAATAGAAATACGCACACACACCATTTTGCGGGACTTGGTTATTTGGACTTAGTAGGACTTCAAAAGATATATTTCCATTGAAAACTCAGATTCCAAAATTTTCACAATCGCAATACTTACCCTTACTATATATTACTTATATATATATGAAAGTAAAAATGTATTTAAATCTGTTCAGAATGACAAAAGGTTTCATGTAATAAATTGAAACCAATTTTTCATTTGGTAAAATGTTTTGAGATGGAGTCACAGAAGAAGGGCTAATCTTGTTGATTTGACAGTTTTTACATTTCTTTAGAACAGTAGCAATCAGCTTCCACCATTTACAAATATAAAGTGAATAATTATATTTTTCTGTTGATATTAAGAATGTGAATGTATTTTTGAAATATAATGTAAATAAATAGATAGGATAAAAGAATTAAAGTTCCAGCCGCGACTTGAGCCTTTTACTACTCGAGCTATGCCAGAGTCGAGAAAGCTGGAGCCTTTTCGGCTCAAGCCTCAAGGGCTCCTTACACAGTCAATATTATTGAGTCAATATATGTTTGGTCAATATATTGACCGTGTAAGGGCTATATTGGCATTAATTATATTGACGTTAATCAAACTGGATGATATCAAATTCTTTTAATTTTTATTGAAGCTCCTTCAATATTATTGAAACATTATTTATAGCCCTATATTGAGCAATATTAAATCATGTATACGGATCCTGAGAAGTTCTGGGCGATACCAAATTTTCGTTGCCCCTCTTGCCAATACGTTACGAGTAGGTGGGTGATTCTTTGTTTTCCTTTTTTTTTTTGAGGGGAAGTTTAACCCTATCCCCTCCGATTTTTTTTTTAAAGATGAAATACTAATATGTTTATGGTATGTGGGTGATACTTTGTTTAACTATTTTTTTTTGGTGGGGGAAGGGAAATTACCTTCCTCTGAAATGTTTTATCTTCCCCCAATTTTTTTTTAAAATGATATGTTGGCAATATATTTGAGTAGGTGAGGGATACTTTTTTTTTTTCTCTTAATTTTTTTTTTGGGAGGAGAGAATCTATCCCCCTCCGAAATTTTAAAACGATATAATGTTTGTGTAGGAGGGGGATAATTGTTTTTACTTTAATTTATTTGGGAGAGAACCCCTCCATGAATTTTTTTTTTAAATTATATAATGGCAGTATTAGGTGAATATTACTATTTTGTTTAAATCGTAAACAAAATTAAAACATACATTAATAAACATATGGTAAACAAAAATCTGATGTGTGCAACACAACTTTCATCACTTACTGCTCAACTTTGAATAGAAATTATTTTCTGGTCTTTTTTTAATTGAAAACACCTGATTTACGTTAAATAATATTAGTTTTTAGAAATTATTATTTATATTTTTTTCGTCACTCTCCGTTACCTTCTACAACTTTCTATATTATTCTTTTTTTTTTTAATTCTTCACTTTCCAATGATATATTATACGTATACCTTCTGACTATTATTTTCAAATATTCAGTTTCAACCTGAATAAGTGTTTTTGCTTTTTTTCTCCTTTATTTAATTATCAAATTCTTCCAAAAGTTATATTTAGCATTTTTCCATAACTCCTAACAATGATAAATAGCTATTATTTGTAATAAAACAAATTAAAGATGTTTTGTTGGGATTTCACAAAGGGAAAATTCATCAAATTATTCACTAATTTAATTTTCTAAAAAGTTACATGACAATTTTTCGGCATAAACGTTGATACCTAATAATTTAAATATAATATCAGATCTATAATCACTGAACTACAGTAATTGTATTTAAGTTTATAAACATAAACATGCTTTATACATCCATGAAATGATTTTATATTTTACATTTTCTTTCACACAAGTACAATATAATAGAGTTTTTAACAATGTCATTCGCCTTGATTAGGTGGATTTTAAATACTTTTTTAATAAACTTAAATATATATATATAGTGAGTAAATTTCATTTAATTTCCTTGAAAACATGTGATTTACTTTAAATAATGTTAGTTTTAAGAGATTATTCATAATTTTTTCGTAACTCTCCGTTACCTTCTACAACTTTCTATATTAGATATTGTTTTTTCTAAAATTCTTCACTTTTCAACGATATATTATCTGTTATTGTATTATATATTATAATATATATATATATATATATATATATATATATATATATATATATATATATATATATATATATATATATATATGTATATATTATAATCTTATACATATTATAGGGAGATTCATTTTCAACCTGGATAAACATTTTTATTTTTTTATCCTTTATTCAATTATCAAATTGTTTCAAAAGTTATATTTAGCATTTTTTTGTAACTTTTAATAATGAGAGATAGTTAATTATTTGAAATGAACCATATTAAAGGTACTTAGAGAAAGACGTATGTGAACATGGGCATTTAAGCCCTGTAAAGTGACATCAACGGGGATAAGACCTAATTGATATTAAAGACCACTTAATTATACAATGATACACTGAGTTTAATCAAAATCGTTAGAGCTTTTAAGAAAATTGAAAAATGTGTTTCAGTGTTGATATAAAATGGCACTTTCAGTTAGTCGATTTTAAGGAAAAAGTTACTAGGACATCTAAGGCATTTACCTATCTTAAATACGTAATATCAGTTTTGTACAACTTTTCATTTTCGAGCTAGAGTGTTCACATACATACAGACCATTTTTCAGTACTTGGTTATCTCAAAACTTATATTTCCGTTGAAAACTCAGACTCGAAAATTTTCATGATCGCAATATTCATTCAACCTTACTATATATTACTTATACAGGTAAGTGTAAGTAACAAGTAAGGTTCAAGCCGCGACTCGAGCCTTTTACTGGCGAGCTCTTAGGACTCGAGTCTTGGCCGAGTCGAGAAAGCTCGAGCCTTTTTGGCTCAAGCCTTAGAGCCTTTTCTACAACACTTATTTTATTACTTGAACTTGAGGTT